TCAGTCAAGTGTCCAGGGGTTTACAGAGGAGGGAGCATGTCTCTAAGGTAAAGTAGCAGCATCAGAGCAAACTCACTGGAGAAGGTGATAGGAGATGGGGAAAAAAAATGGCGTACCAGAGGCAGTGGTGAGCATTCAAGTTCCAGAGCTCCAGGCAGCTCTGCTTCTAACACTTCACCTCATCACCACTATTGCTATCAGAAGCTAAGGGGCCCCTGAGTACAAGTCAGCAGAAAGTTGTGAAGAATTAGGTCTTAGACTAGCAACTGACCTAATCAAAGCAGATGGGTTGAGGCAGGCAGAATTAAACAGGAGGACGGCATCTTTGTACCTTGTAGTATGTGGAGCAAGACAGAGATGGAGAAAGAGGACGTATATGAGCCTAGGAAAAAAGACTCCCTTGCAAGTGTCGTTTTAGTCTATAAATTGGGCATAGCCACCCCCTCCCACAGAGAGATCTCCTAGTTAAGCATTCAGAAAGCTTCTGCTGGCTGTCCTCTTCATCTCCCTGAACCTTCAGAATGATCTTATCAAAATACTTGTGGGTGGAGCTAGAAACTCACTGGTAACAAATGACAATATTATTTTAAATTATATAATGAGGGTGGGTCAATCATACCAAAAAAATCCCCACTTCTGCAGGAACCATGAAATAGCCCATGGACAATGATAATAATCCTGAAAATTGTGCCAGATGTGAAAAATACTTGTTTTAAAAAATCAAAAGCCAGAATTAAGCCTGAAAGAGAAAAAAATATGTATGTATGTATGTATGTATGTATGTATGTATATATGGCTGGAGCAATAGCACAGCAGGTAGGGCATTTGCCTTGCACGTGGCCAACTGGGCCGACCTGAGTTCGATTCCTCTGCCCCTCTTGGAGAGCCTGGCAAACTACCCATGACATATTTGATATGCCAAACACAGTAACAACAAGTCTCACAATGTTACTGGGCCCACTCGAGCAAATTGATGAACAACAGAAGGACAGTGACAGTGACAGTGATATAGATAGATAGATAGATAGATAGATAGATAGATAAAGAATGGACCTATGCTACTAATACTGGTAGGGGCTGTTTCCTTTTCAGTCCATCTTATATAACACCCTTATGCTATATTTTAATGACTTTTGTTCATGTCGAGAGAGCCGCAGGGATTTGTGTGCCCTGATTAAGGCAGAGGCAACTGGGAATCCCATGCGTGCGTCTGTTCCTGATACTGGCAATGCCGCATCTCCCCGATCCCACTGAGGTTGGCGTGGTTGATTCCTTTTGCTTGCGAAGTCTGTCCTCAGACTCCCCTTGCCCACACCCCCCCTCCCACCCTGGAGCTGTGGGCCGGATTGTGATGTCTGCTCACTAATTTTGCTGTGACTGGGTTGTCTGGTTGGTGATTCATGTTTGTTCCGAAGCCGTCCATCTGTGTTGGTTGCTTTGAAACCATGCCCCGGGGGATATGAAAGGCCATTTGTCTCCCTAAGACCACTTCTCTGCAACAGAGAATTCTTCCCTGGCTGCTTCAACATTCCAGCAAGTTCTGCTGGGGCCAGAGGCAGCACGAAGCAGGAAAAAAAACCAAGTAGAAGCAACCTGGCATGAGTTGGGGTCAAGGAGGTCTCTTTCCTGCTCACCTGGCAGGGCCCAAGGACCCGGATCCTGACGCTGGAGACTAACGGCTTTGTGCCACCCACTTTGAGGGGGTGTCTTGGGGATGCCCTCCCTAGCAGCCAGGAGGGCAAGGGGGAAGCCCTGGTGCAAACCCTCAATGGAAAGAGTTCTGAGAGTTTTTAGAACACACCCACTTGGCACCTCTTCTGAGATGGCAGCCCCAAAGCACACAGCAGTGATATTCATGATATTTAATGACTAGGGCCGCTTAGCACAGACCAGAGACATGGCCCCTGGCCATCGGACTGCAGCACAGGCCCAGCTGTTCCAGACACCAGCTCCTTTTGCTACTGCAGACCACAGCGTCTGGCAGATTCTGGAGGGTCTGGGGCAGCAGCTGTGGGCTAACCATCTCCATCCTGATTCTAATGCTTTTGAAATTTCAAAGCTCAGGGGATTGAGTAGAGGACACAGGGGTCAAGGCCTTTGCCTTGCCCCCTGCCAGTCTGGGTTCAGTTCAGACATGGCATATGTTTCCCCCCACCAGACCCTTGCCCAACCCAGCCCTGCAAGGATTAGTCCTTGAGCACAGAGCCAGGAGTAAGACCTGAGCAACACTGAGTTTGACCCCTCCACAAAAAACGGGGCGGGGGGGGGGGTCGGACAGAGAAATAAATGCAAAGTTCATGTTCACTCTAAGCATTGAAGCAGCTCATCTCCACCTAAGAATGCCCTCTCAGTGTCCTCACAGAGTTCAGTGCCAATAGCAGGACCTGGTGTTCCTGCAGAGTCTAGGTGGCACTTGGGGACCTTCTGCGCAAAGGAACACTTTATTTAACTCAACAACAAGCATAGCACTCAATGAACTCAAGCAGAAAACCTTCCATTTTAGTTCACTTGCTGCAACCTATTTGCTTAAAGCTAAGTTTTAATGCCAGCAGGCTGCTCCATGGTATGTGAATGAGGGCAAGGGTATCTGAGGGTACACAGTATGTAAAATCCCAGCAAATATCTATCCACAGGGCCTGGGAAGCCTCAATGCAGAACAGACTTTCATGGCTCTTCTTCATCATCTTGACCAGAGATTCTCATTTGCTACTTCTTATCAAACACCTAGAGTTTGGGAGTTGCTAAAAAACAAAACAAAACAAAACAAAACAAAACAAAACAAAAAACGCTTCTGCTAATGGTCTCCAGGAATGCATTTAGTCCTTTCTTCCTGCTCTAGTTTTTAAAATTTTTCCTTTCTTCTTTTTTTTTTTAACTTTAGGCACTATCATTTACAATACTATTGATAGGATTTTCTGCATACATGTTCCAACACCACAACCTCAACCAGAGAGCTCCTGCACCTCCTCTGCCACTCCTACACACATAAACACACACACACACACACACACACACACACACACACACACACAGTATGGTTCTGTAGAGCAACTCTCAAGTTCTGCTGCATTTGGCCATTGTTATAGTAAGCTCCACCAGAAGTTACCCCTGAGTGCAGAAATAGGAGTAAGCCCTGAGCACAGCCAGGTGTGGCCCAAAACTTTTATTTTTGTTTTAAAGGAGCATTTTTAATATACCTTTTGGCCATCCGTATGTATGCTATATGTTTGAGGAAGTGTCTGTTCATCTCTTCTCATTCCCCCCCTCCCCCAACTTTTTTTAGATGTGTTGATTGATTGATTGTCTTTTTCTTCTTAAGTTTTTGTTAGATAAGTGGTGAGGAAATATTTTCTCCTGATTTGTTGGGTGTAAGGTGTAATTTTATTCTGGTCACAGGTTTTGTTTTGTTTTTTGTTACTGTTTATCTCTCTCTTTTTTTTTTTGATTGCAGACACTTTATAGTTTGTAGTTTGATATAGTCCATTTATCTTTGCTTCCATTTACTTGGACAATGGCATTAAAGATACCTCTGAATTCAGTGCATGAAGGGTTATGTCTGTGTTTTTCTTAATATAATTTATGAATCAATTATGGATTAAAATCTATCATCAAGATCCTTAAGCCATTTTGAATAAACTTTTCTGCACTATCTAATAGGAATCTAAGTTCAATTTTTCTTTACAGGTAATTGACCATTTTTCCAACATTGTTTACTAAAAGAAGCTTGCCCCTTGCTCTACTTCATACGCTTCCCTTCTTTGTAAAAATTTAGATGTCCATATATCTGAGAATCTGTCTTTGGGTTCTCAATTCTGTTCCATTGTAGACCAGAGACACGAAGAATCTGTCTTTATTCCAGTGTCATACTGTTTTGATTACTATGGCTTTATAGTATGACTTAAAGTTGAGGAATGAGATGTTTTCCAACTTCTTTTTCCTAAGATTTTTTGGGCTACTTGGTAGGGTGATATGCCATATGAATTTTAATAACATTTGGTTTATGTATTTTTTAAATGACATGGGTATTTTATATGAACTTCATTGAATCAATATAATGCTCTGGGTCAGATTGTCATTTTGATAATATTTCCAATTCATGAACAGAGGTGTTTCTAGTTCTTGTGTGTTCTTTTATTTATTTATTTTAATTTTAGGGCTGCTCCTGGCAGTGCTTGGGGCTTACTCCTGGTTCTGTGTTCAGGAGCCACTACTGGCCTCACTGGGGGACAATAGGGGTGTTGAAGTTTGAACCTCGGTCAGCAGTATGCAAGGAAAATGCCCTACCTGCTATATCCGGCCTCTTCCTTTATTTCTTTTAGTAATTTATATTTTTTATATATGTCTTTCATATCTTCTGTTAAAATGATTCCCAGTTCATTTGGCTTTTTTGAGGTATAATTGTGAATAAGGTTCCTTTTTAATTTCTCTTCTATTCATTGTTTACATATAGAAATAAGATTTCTGTGTGTTAATTTTATAGTCAGCCACATTGCAGTAGCTGTTTCTGAGATAGGCCTTAGTTCCCAAACCCTTCTGAAATAGGCATATGATATCGTTAATGAGACTAGTATATTCATTTATGCCAGAAAATTTTCCAAGCAGGAAGCCACATTCAAGTGACAGCTCAGAGTCTGACACCTCGAGGGGTGCTAGGTACTCTGTCTGGAGGTGCCTGCTGTCACCCATGAGTCTGTGGCTGGATTTTATTTTCCGTTTGTCCAAGTGGCTTCTGCCTCTGCCAGGCCAGGGCTGGTGACTAGTGGGTTCCCATCCTGCCTCCCATATATACTGACATTAGACTCAGGGGGGAAAGAGTGAACTTCCAGGGTCCCTTTCCTTCATAGAAGATGGTATTAAAATGGTTGCAGCACAGGACTCTTGGGAGAGTGAAATGCTCTATACGCACAAGGTTTTGTGAGAAGGGCCTAGGTCTCAAAGTGTGCTGGATATCCTCTCTTCTTACACATCTCAGCTGAGCAGTCTTCTGTCTTGTCTTCTAGCTTTGACGTGGAAAATGGCCCGTCCCCCGGTCGAAGCCCTCTGGATGCCCAGGCTGGCTCCTCTTCGGGTCTGGTGCTGCATGCCACCTTCCCCGGCCACAGCCAACGCAGAGAGTCCTTCCTCTACCGATCAGACAGTGACTATGACTTGTCACCTAAGGCAATGTCGAGAAACTCTTCCCTTCCAAGCGAGCAGTAAGTACAAGCTCCCTCTGGTTGCGTCTCACTTCATCATTCAGGCAGCAGTAACTCTCTCCTCTTTGAATCTCGGGAAGGTGGGAGGGAGGGTGAATGTGAGTCCTGGTGTCAGGGATCGCCCTGCAAGGACCTCTTGCATGAACTGGAGTCTCCAAGACACAGACAGACACACTCCAGTTTAAATGCTATGGATATGTTAAGAAAAACAGAACAAAACACTTCATCTGGCTTCATTTCCTGAACTGCTGCATCGTTAATGGAGTGTGAACTTTAACACTTTTTGCCAAGGACCTGGTGCTTTTTTTACAATTTGGTATGTGGTTTGTGCAAGGCAATGGGAGAGAAGACAAATTGATGATTGTTTGGTTACTTGCCACCTCACTCGATGCCCTTTGTGTGATGGCATTTAATGAGCTGACTTCCAGCCACAAGTCTGTGTCCCTTCTCTGGAACCTGAACACAATGCACACTTGTGACTGGGCTCCTGGGTGCCACTAACATGCTTGACTGCCTAGTCAGCACTACTGATGTTTCTGTTTGACTGCAATAATTGTCAATCTCTAATTTTTATTTCAAGAATCACAACTAGGTTGTGTTGCTTGTATATTCCATTTCTGAAACCAAGTAAAGATGGATGCTGGAGTCCATGCCTTAACATGTTTCTGGGCACACAGTCAGTTGTGTTTTGAAAACCTTGTATCACTTGTATCACTTGTCATCCCGTTGCTCATTGATTTGCTTGAACGGACACTAGTAATGTCTCTATTCGTCCCTGTCATGTGCTAGTGTATCCCAATCATGTCTGCTCGCTCCAGGAACATGAAGAGCCTCAAACTGTTCATTCAGGGTCTTGACAAAGAAGCCCAACCATCTCGTAGGTGAGCAGCTGTAAAAAACTACACACACTGAAAGGTGTGTGTTCTTGGGCTCGCCAGGTCGCTCTATCTCACAGCCTGTATTCTGTGCCCTAGAGCCACTGTGTGTGGACTGGATCTGGATGGCTGCTGGCCAAGGGCAGGCTAAGGAAGGAAAGAGAGCCAGGCTGGTTGGTCTCAATAGAGGTTTATTCCAATCTTATCACCGTTCACTCCTGACTCTCTTTCTCCTTCTCTCCTGCCCCTGATCTGGAACCCCCAGCCCACTATTACAGCCTCATTAAATCCCCAAAGCATGAGGGGTTGGGCTTACACATAGGTGTGGTCACAATCAATAGGGATAAAGTTCTTTCCCTCAGGGGATGCTGCTTCTAGGATAGATTCTCTTTGGGCTGAATCCCATGGGTGTGTTTCTCCTCTCCTTGTCCAACAAACATACAAGCATTCATAATATTAATCATTTTGTATGGACACAGTAAGAGATGCATTAAGCTTATAGAATTGCTCTCCTGGGGACATCTTGATCTCAGACTACAGTGCTCAGGCCAGATTAGTCTTTCCTATCCCTAGCAGGGTCCTAGTCTTGTCGTTACTTTTGGATCATAATAGCATTTGTCCATGATCAAGCTCTTAACTTATAGGTAAGAATTGTGGCACTTTGGCCTGGCCCATTTCGATGCCAGGGTAACTCAGAGCTTGCCCTGGGTCCATTCAGTCCCTCATCGGGACCCTGCTTAAGTTGAGAAAGCAGATGCCCGGGAATAAATAATATTCAAAGCCAATTAAATCCCAAGTTACAAAAGCATAATATTAATTGTCTTCTTGTGTCTATACAAAAGGACATTGCTTTTTTTGTTTTTGTTTTTGTTTTTTTTTCCCTTTATTTTATTTTTTTTAAAGTTGTAGATTTACAATTTTTTGTGCTTTGGTTTCAATTATACAATGATCAGATACCCATCCCTCCACCAGTGCCCATTTTCCACCACCATGGATAATATCCCTCCCACCCCCATCCCCCCATCCCCACTGTCTCTGTGGCAGGGCAATCCCCTGTGTTCTCTCTCTCCGTTTGGGTGTTGTGGTCTGCAAAAGAGGCATTGAGTGGCAAACATGTTCAGTCCATAGTCTACTTTCGACATGCATCTCCCCTCCTGGGAGGATCCTCCAAACATCCTTTATTTGGTGCTCCCTTCTCTATCTGAACTGCCCTTTCCTCTAGGATACCCGGCTGGCCTCTAAGTTATGGAGTAATCCTCCTGGTGCTGATCTCAGCTATTCTTGGGTATTAATCTCATACTTTGTTACTTTATATCCCCCAGATGAATGCAATCTTTCTATGTCTATCCCTCTCTTTCTGACTCATTTCGCTTAGCATGATACTTTCCATATTGTACCACTTGTATGTAAATTTCATGACTTCATCTTTTCTAACAGCTACATAGTACTCCATTGTGTAGATGTACCAAAGTTTCTTTAACCAGTCATCTGTTCTTGGGCATTCAGGTTTCTTCCAGTTTCTGGCTATTGTAAAGAGTGCTGCAATGAACAAACAAGTGCAGATGTCACTTCGACTATACATTTTTGCCTCTCTGGGATATATTCCCAGGAGTGGTATTGCTGGGTCAAATGGGAGCTCAATTTCTAATTTTTTGAGAATCGTCCATACTGTTTTCCAGAAGGGCTGAACCAGTGGACATTCCCACCAACAGTGAAGGAGTGTCCCTTTCTCGCCACATCCACGCGAGCATCGGTTGCTTTTGTTCTTTTGAATGTGGGCCAGTCTCTGAGGTGTGAGATGGTATCTCATTGTGGTTTTGATCTGCATCTCCCTGATGATTAATGATGTAGAGCATTTTCTCATGTGCTTTTTTGCCATTCGGATTTCTTCTTTGAGAAAGTTTCTGCTCATTTCATTGCCCCATTTTTGGATGGGGTTGGATGTTTTCTTCTTGTGGAGTTTAACCAGTATTTTGTATATCCTGGATATCAACCCTTTGTCAGACCAATTTGGTGCATGGAGTGGATTGCTGTAGCCCACCTATTCCCCTTGCTCCCTCCCGAGGAAGCTTGGAGAAATGGAAGAAGAAAGAATTCCTCCCCTGTCCATCACCAAAGCATCTGAAATTCTGGTTCTGCATGGTCTACAGCAAGATGATAATCTCTCTGCATGCTTCCACTTCCAATTTGATCTCTGCCACTGCATATGGTCCCCTGACAACCATCAGGATTGAACACTGCACACAGATACAGGACTAAGTCCTGAGCTCCCCTGGGTATGGCCCCACCACCAGTCCCTGCTTGCATCTCTAAAAGCTAAAAAATTCATGGGATAAAGTATGGCATATAGTCATGGGACAGGGACAGGTTTAGCCTGTCCACTGTTCATAAAGGAATGAACTTGATGATAGATTTATAAAGAGTCAAAGCAAGTCCATACTACATTTGTTCAGCCTCATGGGAAGCCAATGTCCATGACATGTATGCTTCCGGTCTTGAGTAGAGATCTGTGGGTGTCCATCTTAGTTTATGATCTAACTGTCCTTACCCTGAAAGCATGCAACGTTTCTGAGAATGGGAACCTGTTTTTAATTCATCTGTGATATATACCATGTTTGGGTTTATCTCTTAAATCCAGGGACACAACAGGGCACAAGAATTGGCCAATGTTTGAGACATGAGTGCCCACATGAATGGGGATCACCCATGATGGAAAGAGAACTGAGGGCCAGGTGCTGCCCTCCACATTAATGGGCAGACATGCCCCTGGAAACACTTCCTTGCTGGTAGCTTTAAAATGCTCTCTGCCTCTTTCACAGAAAGGTGACCCCCTTTTCACTTCCTTTCCAATAGCAGAAGGAAGACCAGTGGAATTTTCCAAGCTGGAGACCTTAGGCAGTAACTGATATTTTTATAACATAGGTTTTTAAAGACAAACATGCATGTCTTTGTCTTTACCGGTCTTTAACGTCTGGCCTTCTATAGTATGACATTGCTTTGTCCTTTTTCCCTTGCCACAAGGAGATTAGGTTTATGGGGTCACACCCATCAGAATGCTCCTAAGTCACTCCCATTCTTTTGTTTATCTGTAATCACTTCTCTATGCTCTCTTCCCCAACCAGTTAATCAGTTTTTTTCCCTAATCAGTTTCTGTTAGTTTGTAAGGTCAGATCTTTCTAGGACCCTGAACTTGGATTGTAAGTTAACATTGCCTTTCTCCTCTCCTTACGTCTTTTGAATAGTTTACTTTAAAGCAATGTCCTTTTGTGTATTTGGTGAATATCCTTTCCCATTCTGTAGACTGTCTTTGTATTTTGGTCAGTTTCTTTGGAGGTGCAGAAGCTTCTTAGTTTAAGATAGTCCCATTTATCTATCTCTGTTTTCACTTGCTCGGCCAGTGGCGTGGCATCTTTGAAGATACCATTAGCTTCAATGTCATGGAGGGTTTTGCCAACTTTATCTTCAATGTACCTTATGGTTTCTGGTCTGATGTTGAGGTCTTTAATCCATTTTGATCTTACTTTTGTACATGGTGTTAGGCAGAGTTCTGAGCCCATTTTTTTGCATGTAGCCGTCCAGTGATGCCAACACAATTTATTAAAGAGGCTTTCTTTACTCCACTTCACATTACTTGCACCTTTATCAAAGATTAGATGAGCATATGATTGAGGGGAGATGTCAGTGTATTCAACCCTATTCCATTGGTCTGCAGTTCTGCCTTTCTTCTAGTACCATGCTGTAGACCATGCAGAACCAGAATTTCAGATGCTTTGGTGATGGACAGGGGAGGAATTCTTTCTTCTTCCATTTCTCCAAGCTTCCTCAGGAGGGAGCAAGGGGAATAGGTGGGCTACAGCAATCCACTCCATGCACCAAATTTGTGACAGGTCAAAGCAGCAGCAAGAGAAAATTCAGAGTTCATCAAACTGTTGCTCAGTAGCATGGAGAGTTGCCAAGTCATTCAAAGGCTTCTAGAAGATTCCACCCCAATTTCAAATTAAACTGTAGTAATTCCTGAGTTAGATTCAAATAGTTATTGAAATATTGAACTTGGAAAGTTCTTAAAGATCATAGCCCAATTTCGTCTATAGTTAGTAAAATACAGATTTCTTGTGGAAAAATTCT